TTGCCCTTTCTACTCAATGAGAAGTGGCATCACGATTTCAAAGACATTTTTAAAGCAAGCACAAGGCTGTTTTTCCTGCCTTCTACCTTAGTAGCTACTGGACTCAGCTGTTTTACAAAATCACAGTATTTCTGGATCAGTACAATAGCAATCACCCTGTGGGCTCCTGCATGTTGTACTAGTTTGGACCTCTGATCCCCCGCTCCATCCTTGCATTCAGGCACGCTGCAAGTACTGTTTCTCCCCAGTCTTTCTGTTTTCCTTCTATTCTTCTAACTGCCAGGTGCCATGCCTCTCCCCTTGGGCAGCAAAAATACCCCTGTCAGGCTGCTCCCTTTGCTCTTTGATCTTCTACTTACTAGCTTGTAAACTGTGTTAGAATATTCTCCATCAATAATGTAGTGCTTATTGCTTTCTCTCTTGATTTCAATCTCCAAATATCATCCTCTGATGGTTTCTTATGTGTACCATTTGTCTTCCCAGCTACATGGTAACTCTCCCAAAGCAGAGCCCCACTTTTGTATATCTAATTATATTCCTGCCCATCACTAGAGAATTTCAGAGCTGCATTACAACACGTGCTGAGTAAATGCTAAGTGATTATTCTAATAGAATAGATGGGATCTCTCTGTATTATTTCTTAAAAATGCAAGAAAATGTATAATTATCTTAATATAAAAGGAATGTAAACTTTAGAAATAAAGCCACAAGGCTCAAGATCTTGACAGTTATCCTTCTCTTTTCCTCCGTTCACAAATTGCTACAAAGATTCTTTGCTACAATAACATATGGATGCTTGATGAATTCCAAGCAGCTTTGTTGGCATGTTCCCAGCCAGATGGCTTAGGCCTTTTAAATCTAGGCAGTTGTTATGTTGTTTCCTTTCTGCGATATCGAAGAGAAATGGGACGTGGAGGGTAAAGGATGTAACTTGGAGACAGGGTACAGCCCTGGGAGGCGCCTCATGGTGGCCACAGCGATGACCTCGGCCACCAGGTGAATGTTCAGCAGATGATACTGGAGCTGGTGGTGCAGGTGAATCAGAATCTTGAACCCAGACCTTTGCCAGGAGCCAGGCAAGTGGGGGATCTGAGGGCAGGAATGGCGGTGGGGTGGGGGTGCTGGATCTACAGTGCATAGGAATTAAGCATTGGCTGAACTCTCATCACATATAAGATACCATGCTCGGCATTGCGGGGCAAGCAGAGATGAGTGAGATTATTGCCCCCAGGGTTACCAAACCAAAATGGGCCCGCTCCTTGGTAAGCTACACACAGAGGCTACCCCAGGGGGAGTTGCCTCACAAAGTTACTGTATTTGTACAAACAAGGAGATTTCACTGATATGTGGCATCTAAAAAACAAAACAAAGAAACAAACAAAAACCAGAAACAGACTCACACATGGTGGTTGCCAGAGAGAAGAGGAGTGGGGGATGACAAGATGGGGAAAGGGGATTAGGAAGTACAGACTTCTGGGTATAAAATAAGGGATGTAGTGCACAGCATAGAGAATCTGGACAGTAATATTAAAACAACTCTGTTTTGTGACAGACGGTAACTAGACTTATTGTGGTGACCATTTTGTACTGTATATAAATATAGAATCATTATGTTGTACGCCCAAAACAAATACAATATTGTAAGTCAGTTATTCTTCAATTTAAAAAAAAAAAACAAACTCAGTACTAAAAAAAGGAAAAATAAATACACGTTTATCTATTAAAAAAATAAAAACAGAATTGGCATATGACCCAGCAATCCCACTTCTGGGTATGAAACTGGAGGAGATGAGAGCAGAGTCTCGAAGAGGTATTTGTACACCACTGTTAACAGCAGTGTTTTTCACAATAGCTAAAGTGTGGAAGCAACCTAAGTGTCCACTGACCAATGAATGGATAAACCAAGTGTGGCCTATCTGTACAATGGAATATTATTCAGCCTCAAAAAGGAAGGAAATTCTGACAGGTGCTACAACATGGATGAACCTTGAGGACATTATGCCGAGTGAAACAAGCCAGTCAACACAAAGATACGTACTGTATGATTCCACGTATATGAGATACTTAGAGTAGCCACCCTTGTTGAGACAGAAAGTAGAGCGGTGAATGCCAGGAGAATGTAGTTAGTGTTTAATGGGGACAGAGCTTCGGTTTTTTTTTTTTTTTTAAGATTTTATTTATTTATTTGAGAGAGCGAGAATGAGAGAGAGAGCACATGAGATGGGGGAGGGTCAGAGGGAGAAGCAGACTCCCCGCCGAGCAGGGAGCCAGATGCGGGACTCGATCCCGGAACTCCAGGATCATGACCCGAGCCGAAGGCAGTCGCCCAACCAACTGAGCCACCCAGGCGCCCGAGAGCTTCGGTTTTGTAAGATGAAAAGCATTCTGGGGAATGGACGGTGGTGATGGCTATCGACCACGTGAACGTATTTAATACCACTGACCTGTGCACTTAAAATGGCTAAGGTGGTAAATTTTAAGCTATGCGAACTTTAACACCATTTTTTAAAGAAAGTAAGAAGAAAAGAAATTATTATTATTTATTTTTATTCATGGACTGACCAAGAAAAAAATCATTGACTTACTTTTTCCTTGAGTATTTTGATGGGATGAACCCACTACTGTCTGGTACTGATTGTTGCTATGGAAAAGTCTGAGTCCAGACTCATTTTTCCCTTGTAAGTAACTTGATCTTTTTGTCCCTTAGCCCTAAAATCCAGGAACCTGTGGGGGCACACCTAGACCTGCACCTGCCTCCAGGTTCCTCAGACGTGTTAAAGTGACACAGACATAATCAGCAAATACACTCCCTTCCATCTATTTCTGGACATTTGGGATCCCCCAAGTCTTCTGTTCATTTCTAGATGGGGTTGCCTGCTTTGTCTTGTTGATTTGTAGAAATCCCTCATTTATTCTAGCCCTCAGATATTCTTCTATCACTTGGAAGGTATCCCTTTGTCTTCGGGCACCCAGTGTTTCATTCAAAGTGTTTCATTTGAAAAAACACTCTCCTAGATGTCCCTTTTGAAGTTGAGGGGTTTTTTTCTTCCCTCTTTGGTTTCCAGCATCTTTACATTTCTCTCAGGTTTTTTTTTTTCCTTTTTTTTAGGAAGACGTGTGGTTTGGTTTGGTTTGGTTTTTCTTCATCCTGTTTGGGGCTTGTGGTGGTATTTTAATCTGTGGCTGCTGATGTGTTTGACTGTCTGCCATATCCATTGCTTTTGAGGCACTCACTCTCTCTCACTTGGGGCTGGGACCTGAAAGATCTTCACCCGAGGAGTGAGTGTGGGCTGGAAATTCCGGCCTCGTAGGGACTGAAGCCCAGCATCCAATAAACTCGGCTCCTGATGGGGGCGCCTGGGTGGCTCAGTCGGTTAAGTGTCCGCCTTCGGCTCAGGTGGTGATCCCCGCGTCCTGGAATCGAGCCCCGCATCGGGCTCCCTGCTCAGCGGGGAGCCTGCTTCTCCCTCTCGCCCCTGCTCATGCTCTCTCTCTCTATGTCTCTCTCTCAAATAAATAAAATCTGAAAAAGAAAGCAAGCTACACTCACAGACTTAACCCAGACATAATAAAACAACTTGGCCCAAAGTGCTTAGCCCGCCCTGGCTGAATGCTCTGGCCCTTTATCCTTTCAGTTTCAACCATTAACGTTCTCTTTCGAAATAACAGGAGATTGGTTTTGTTATGTTGCTTCTGGCTTGTACAAAAGGAGAAGGAAAAAAATGCAAATGATCTGAAGAAGGAAACATACTAAGGCCACTTGGCAGGCTGGCAGAAGATTGGAAACAATTCTCTGATATATATATATATATATATATATATATATATATACACACATAATTTTTGGACAATCCTGTGATTTTGAATCGAAATCCCTCTATGGGCCAGAAACGAATATGGAGGACCTGCCGTTAGAATAAAATGAGACGGACATGGATAGATGAACTTGCGCGGGGTGCCCAGCCTAATGGAACAGGTGCAGCTCCAGAACTCAGGATGCTTTCACACATGTTTACATACGGCTGCCAAGGTGCAAAACTCCAGGTAGCGGCATTCACATAAAATAGCACACACAGCCCTGGAGGGCAGGTCCAATCCGGGCCCTGCGACTGAGTGCATTTCCCGAGCTAGAGGTGAGCCACCGCTGTAGGAATCAGCACAAAGAAAGATCCAGAGGCATCAGTAAGCCTGCTGTATGCAGGCAAAGAAGTGCCCAGGCAAAGAAAAAAAAATTAGTAAAATTTAGATAAATTGAGATCATGCATTTGAAACTCCATAGCGCCTGGTCTACAGGTTCCTTATTTGTCCATCTGTTTTCCGCATCTCAGATTGTGGGCTTCTGCGTACATTTGGGTGACAGGAGGAAGGAGGAAGCAGAAATGAGGGGAGGGTTTATCAAGAGTCGTGGGGAGGGCAGCGAGGGGCGCCCGGAGCGTGGCGGAGAGAAGGCAGGGCAAGGGACCTTTCAGAGGTGGCCTATGGGACGTGTTGGTTGAGGGCTCCAAAAAGCCTCAAGCCAAGAACTACTGTCAACAGCCAGATTCCTTGACCCCACGCGGAACTTCGGTAGCTTAGCTTAAAGGGTCTTACGGAAGCCCTTGCAGGAAGCAGTGAAGGCAGGAAGACATTTCTGTTCCCAGAGAGCATCTTTATTTTTCTTCCTTGAAATCGGAATGAGAGGTCAGGAAACAAAGCAGGCATAACCGACTTTATCCTTTAATCAGCTCTGTTCACTGATATGTAAGCCAGGTCTCCTGGGGAAAAGGGGAGGGATGGGAGGACTCCATGGGTGAAGACGTGTAGGCCCAAGTGGACATCAAGGTCGGGCGGCTACAGGGGGTGCTAGGTCCCAGAAGTCAATGGGAACCACTCCTGGTGAATTCCCTGGAGCTGAGGCAGCACCCCGGGGGGACCCTGACAACACAGCTTTGGGGCCAGTTTGTCCGCCAGAGGATGTGGCCAAGGAACTTAGGGAGGGAGGAACTTTGGGGCGGGGCCTCTCAGATGGTCACACTGTTCTCCACCATGGTGGGGCGAAAGTACTCATAGGGCAGGTCCAGGCCTGCACTGCGGACCTCTATCTCCTGGTCCAAGGCAGCCAGTTCCTCCCGGAATTTCTCCAGAACAGCTTGGGGGCCAGGGCCCGAGAAATAGTTCTCCTTGTGCTGCCCCAAGGCCACCTGAGAAGGGGAGAACAAGACGGCTCAACCCTGGGCCCCTTAGCCAAGGATACCACCCCTCCTTCAAGCCGCCTTCTCCCCCAGGACCCAGGTGTCTGTCTCTAACCATGACGGGCTGGCGTCTGCCAAGGAACTTTGTGAAGGTCTTCTGCATACGGGCTTGGTGGGCAGTGGGCAGTGAGTCCACTATGTCCTTCTCTGTCACATCCTTGGAGGTGGGCGGGGGCTTCCGCATGGTGCACGGGCCATTGGGGATCCAGGAGTACCAGTCCAGCTGCAAGAAGGGGAGCCTCTTTGAAACCCAGGCTGATGACCCAAGCATTCGATTCCCGGTCTTCTCCGTCCCAGGAGCCCCTAGGGGCTGATCACAGCAGCTCACCTGGCCCAGGTGGGCAGAAGCATGCTGACCAGTGCATGTGAAGATGCACATGGAGGCAAAGTGCCTGAGCTGAGCCCGGGAGTCTAAGGAGACAGGGAACCTGGGTGACATGAAGAGAAGTAGAGGCTTTGAGACCAGGATGTGAGCCAGGCCTCAGTCAGTGAAAGGTACCTGGAGATACAGAGAAGAGTTTCTGTCTGTGGTCGTGGCCCCTAGAGTCCATGGCTCACACCAGGTGTATGTGTGTGCACTCGGTGAGGGAAAGTACCCAAGAGAAACGTGTCTGGTTCCAGAGGACACTCTGAGTGCATGAGGGCACGGAAGGTTGTACAGGAGGGTGAGGAGGGAATGGGCTGGAGAATCAGGATCGATCCTTCGGATTTCTGAAGGATGCTCTGGAGTGATGCCTGGAAGCTCAGGGAACCCAAGGTAGGGTGGCTTAGGACAACACTGTGAGATGGTACAGATTGTTGGCAGGTGGGTGTGAGTTGACACAGGCCAGTGGGGAGAGATCTGAGCTTACCCCCGGTCCTGGGCACCCTGCAGCCCGGTCTCAGTGATCTCTCTGCACCAAGCCTGCAGCTCCGGATCATCCCTCACAGCCTCATCACTCTTGTAGAAAAGACCGACCATGCCCTCCACGTACCTGCTTCCCAGGCAAGAAAGCCCTTGGTCTCAGGTGGCCGTCACAGGATCAGCTGGACCTATAGCCCCCCTTGTTCTCTCCAGCAAGCCCACTGGGCCCCCCTTTCTGTGTCATCCTCACCGGCTGATGATTCCCCACAGCCTGAGGGCATCTTGGCCATAGAGGGAAGACCTCACATCCAAGAGCCCACGGTCAGCCAGGTCATCAGGAGGGCAGAGGGAACGGTAGGTCAAGCAAGTGGTGGCTCTCTGGAGAATGTTCACATGGCCTCCACTACCGGTGCTCACCACCTGAGGACGACCCCACAGCACGTACACCAGGGTTAGCCGTGTCGGGGGGGAGGGAGTTCAGGGTCAGATTCCAGGTCAATGGTCCTGCTCAGGCCCCTCTAAGGAGTAGGCTGCTCAGGTGTGAGGCAGATCAGGGAGAGACCTTCATGGAGGATGCTGGGCTTGTGGGGGGTTGGGAGGGTAAGTCAAACAACCCTCAGGATTCTCCCACTGTTGAACCCTCTGCCCTCTTTACCCATCCCTCTCCATACCAGATCAAAAATGCCCCATTTGGAGACAAGATTACTCCGGGCCAGGATGTTGATCTCCATGGTGTAGCGGAAGTGAGGGATCAGGAGCTGGTTGGGGAGAAAGAAACAGGACTGTTATAGGGACCCCAGGATCTTAGGGGAGTGGAAATTAAAGGACCAGGGTTAGAGGAGAAGGGAGGGGATGGGTCTCCATGCAAATGAGAGACCTCCCGTTGGATTGGATCGGGTCAGGTTAAGATTTGGGAAAAGAAAGATGGGAAAATATCTTCCCAAGGCCTCCCAAGGTCAAGGGTTTTACAAGTTCACTTATTTGCACAGTCTCGCATTATTTGTAAGAATCCCAGGAATCTCTTGTCTCACACCACAAAACCTAGCAAGTTTCCCACATATGGAACTATGTCATGTGTCTCTTACTCCCATCGAGAAAGTATCTCTGCTCGCTGCAAAGGCAAAGTCTCCAGTCTTCTTTTGCCTTCTCGGATGTCTCTCCTGCAACTCTCCCGCCCCCTCCCCTCCCTTCCTCCTCCTCCGCCCCACTTCTTCCTCCTCCAACCTCTTTCCCTCCCCCTCTCTCCTCCCCCCTCCCCTCTCTCTGTCTCCCTCTGTTTCACACACACACACACACACACACACACACACACACACACACACACACACTTCATCCTGGATACCCCAACAGAGGAAACCCTGGCCTCCCCCCCACACACCCCTTCCCATCGGCGTCCTCATTTCTTGCTTCCCTCCCACAGCAAGTCTTCTTAAAGGAGTCACCCTGCACTGTCTCTCCCGCTCACCTACCATCACCCCCACTCCCATAAGATAGCACTCACCCGTGGGTAACCAGAGGCTTCCATAGTGACCTCCAAATATGGCTTCTCTGTGACTTCTCAGCAGCATTTGATGCAATCATGCCTCCCTCCTGAGCACTTTCTCCTCTTGGCCGCCTTGACATCATGCCTTTTGTTTCCCTCCTGCCTCAATGGCTGTCCCTTCTCTTGCTCTGTGTCTTACTTCACTCCTCCCTCCCCGTTTATAAAGGCCGGGCACCCTCCACTTACGTCCTGGGCCGAATTCTCTGCTGTAGCTACAAACCCCAGACAGCTTCATCTAGTACAATGGCTTCAGTAGCTCTGTTTTCTGATAACCCTAAAGTCTGTATCTCCAATCCTGACCTGTTCCAGGAACCCCAGGCTCCTATATCTGACTGCCCTCTGACATCTTCAGGTGCATGTCTGTAGGTGTTGGAAACCGCTTGTGCTCAAAAAGAACCCTTGATTCTTCTCCCCACCGAGTAACACGGCTTCCTCCCACCCTTCTCCTACCCAGTACTTCAATCCCCCACCCCTCCTCCTCAGCCATTATCCAGAACCCTCCACAGACCTCTCTGACGGGAACGTCCGCATCCCTTACTACCCACCTGGCAATCTCCGGAGGCCACATTTCTTTTTTTTTTTTTTTTTAATATTTTATTTATTTATTAAAGATTTTATTTATTTATTTGACAGAAAGAGAGAGAGACAGTGAGAGGGAACACAAGCAGGGGGAGTGGGAGAGGGAGAAGCAGGCTCCCCGCAGAGCAGGGAGCCCGATGTGGGGCTCAGTCCCAGGACCCCGGGATCATGACCTGAGCCGAAGGCAGACGCTTAACGACTGAGCCACCCAGGCATCCCTGGAGGCCACATTTCAACAACACTTTTGTAAAACCTATTCTCACTCTTTCCCCAGCCCTGGGTGTGTGTCCGCGCGCACGTGCATATAAACCAAGATGGCTACTAACCTAACATGCCACAAGGGTAGACTCATAGCAGGTGCTTACCCCGTCTGCGAAGGGGTGTGATACAAAGGGCAATCAAATATAGAAGAGATGCTGACCTTGTAGATGGGATGCAGGCTGGGCAGGGTCCTCATTGTGGCCACAGAAATAACCTCAGCCATCAGGTGTCCCCTCAGGAGGTGTGACTGTAACTGGTGCAGCTGGAAATCAGAGCTACGGACCCAGGTCTTGGCCAGCAGCCAGGCCAGAGGGGGATCGGAGGGCAGGAACAGCATGGGTGGGGGGCATCCATGATAAGGAGGCTGCAGCTAGAGCAGGGGAGAGAGGGGGGCTCAGGACCCATGTGCCTGAGTCTCTCAAGGGGACCCATGTCTGTGTGAAAGGTACCTAGCGCCTCTCACCTGGATGACCATGGGTAAGAGTTGTCCGTCAGGCTGGAGCTTCAGCATGACCAGAGGGGCGGCCACATATTGTTGTTTCAAGATGATGACATTAGGCTTGACCCCCTCTAGGAGGGAGAAATCGGCTTCAAACAGAGATCCAGCCTGGAGGGTGGGGAGCAGGGATCAATAAACGGTTGGGGTCAGTTCTGGACTGCCCTTTTTTCATTTGGGAGGCTAGTTCCTTCCTCTACGCATCAAATTTTTCCTTTCAACACCAATCTCTTTCTCCCTAACCCAAGCCCCGAACGCAAGGTTTCTACACCCAGTGTCTCCCATCAGAGCTGGAGCTCCCTGAGGTGAAGTTTCTGGTTTTCCACCATGCCCCCTTCCCCCGCAACCCAAGTCCTCCCTGTCACCTCCCTTCAGGCTTTAGCCAAACGTAGCACAAAATAGTTCCTTTATCCTCCCCTCCAAAAACCCCATAGCTCCAGCTCTCTCGGGGCCTTTGTTGCATCTCTCTTCCTCTTTCCCTCCAGAAGCCTGAGCTTTCCCCTAAGTCTGGGACACATCTAACCAAGGAGGAAGAGGAGGGAGAAAAGAAAGGAATAACAGGAGGCAAAGAAGACATCCAAATGGCCAACAGACACAT